TATATATACATGAGCTATGGAGGGCATGGAATCTGGTTGTGATGAAACATGAAAGCCAACGCATGGACAGAATCTGCAACTCTATTCATTTTCAAGTTTTATTTCAAGTATTTGCCAAATTGTAATTACAGATTTACAGCGGTTGTTATGAATACCGGGTATGCCTGGGTCTGGGTATCATAAACAATGTTTCATGCCCGTACTGGCAAACAAAAAAATAAAAATAAAAGACAGAAACTTGAATTCTAAAAAATATTAAGAAAAGTATAGTTAACTATAAAACATTAATTATTAAATTAGAGAGAAGCCTACTTACAATGGAGATGATCTCTCCACATAATAATTGATGTTTTATAGTTTGAATTATAAATTATCAAACTCAAAGAATTAACTCAAGATTTATAAAAGGAACATTTCAGACCCAAACTGGCATTTTATTTTGCCTTTGCAGACTAATAGACTTTTAGTTTTTGAAGAGAAGGGTAAAAATTATGATGTTTTAGCATTTACTCCTTATAAAATTAATTAAATATCTTTAATAAATACTTTTTTTTGTGCATATGATCATGGTTATATAAGTGGAGATACTACTATTCTATTTTTAAATCTTTTTTCACCCGACTCAAAACTTAAATTTGAGATCTTTAATTTAAAATTTTAAGTTTGTAACTGTTTAATTCACCCTATATAAATATTTCTTATATGCTAATTCATTAAGGGTACTTAAATAATTTTATAAAGAATTTTGATAATTGAATTGTTGAAATATTTTATTTTTTACAATTCTTTTTCTAAAAAGAAGAATAATTGAATTTTTTTAATAAAACAATAGAGGAAATAGTTGGGGGGCAAACAAGGCATCCTCTTTATACAAGGTTTAAAAAAAAAAAAGTCTAACAATTTCATTTTTAGCACATGTAATGCATTGGCATTTCCCAACTTCTTGCAAGTTGTAAATGAAACGAATGAGAGGGCGGGCCAAAACAATAGGGGGGCCCTAGTTTTTCATGGGATAAGACATAAATTGAGAAATTAACATTTAATGTTTTATTAAAATGAAAATTGAGACAACTAAATTAAACTACTCTTATTTTAAAAAATGAGACAACTAAATTAGATTAAAAGAAAATAACAATATAGATATTTAAAATTAAGAGAATAGTAAAGTTAAAGAAAGAAAAAAACATATTTGCTTTATTAAAATATTAAAAACAATGATTATTTAAAAATAAATTTAAGATAAAAAATATCTATTATTTTAAAATAAAAAAATAATTTCTCACTCTCAAGGAGTGATAGTCATTTTTTTACCAAAAACTTATCACAAATCAATTATCATTCTTATCTATATTTAAGGTGAATAAAAAATTTTCTCATTTAACTGTATTATTATCTATTAAATTTAATTCTTCACCTGATCAATAACATTTTCTGGAAGTTTTGGATGTGAATTTAGTTTTACTGCAATTGGAAATGAGACTTGAATTTTATGCAGACAAATATATATGCCACTAGAAGAGGCTCGCAAAAAGACTTGGCTCGTGGATTCCAAGGTAGTGGGAATCTGATATAGGTTATTGTTGTGAAGCAAAATAGTACAAAATTATCTTGTTTTATTTGCATCCATTGAAAGTTGTACTATGTAGGGGTTGATTGTTAAATCTCGTTTGGAGTCGCTTCAACATTTCAAAAAGCCATGGGCTCATGATCACGAGCCTGTCAAGGAACTTGTGGATGCTGTTAATGTAAGAAATTTTCTTCCATTTCTCTCCCTCCTCCCCTCTCCCCACAATGAAGCCAAAAAAAAAAAAAAAAAGGAAAGGAAAGAAGAAAGGAACAAATTCATTAGTCTATTACTTATGTTCTATATGTTTTGGCAGGGAATCAAGCCTACAGTGTTCAATGGAACATCAGGGGTAGGAAGAACCCTTACTAAAGAGGCTGTTGAGGCTATGGCCCCCTTGAACGAGGTATATCTTATTCTTATTTGTCTATGATAACTTGTGGATTGGAAAAATTTTTGCACTCTGCAAACACTTAACTGACCCCGTCCTTTTGTGATTGCATTCAGAAGGCAAAATAACCAAATGCACCCCCAAAGTATAGTGGTAGAGACGAATTTACTCCCAAACAAAATACAATAACAAATCTACCAATAAAATTTTTAATTTGGACAAATCACCTCAAATTTAACGTGTAACATCATTTGATATCAATAATCCATCAATTTATTATGTCACTAATAATAGATTGTTAATGTCAAATGATGTCAAATTAATAAATTACTGACGTCAAATGACGTCACACGTTAAATTTGAAGTGATTTATTTAAATAAAAAATTTTATAAATAAATCTATCCCCGTTTTTTGTTTAAGAATGAATCTGTACCAACCATTATACTTTGGAGGTGGATTTAAGTATTCTATCTATTTAGAAACCTGTTATTTTTGCTCTGTCTAATCCAACTTCACAGTCTGAATGTACTGCCGAAGAAGCTTATACTTGGAGCAAGGTAATAAGAGCATGTAACTTATTACTTCTCAGTTGTCTTGTCATCAAGAATTAACCCTTAACCTTGAAAGAAGCTCCTTTGTTCTCTGTGCTTTCCGCTTGA